ATTTCATAGTTTTTCGTTTTTCACTTTAGGTTTTACAATTTTACAAATTTGCAATTTTCGAAGAATTGTTCAACCGAAAAATTGCAGAATCGTCAAAATTATAAAGTCAAAAACTGTAATATTCGAAGATCGAAAAACTGAAAAATTAACTTTAAAAATCGAATAAATGAAAAACTTAAAATTCAATAAATAAAAACTGAAAAATTTCACAATGAAGAAAAGGAGAATTACAAAATCAGAACATTGAAAAACCGAAAAATTGAAAAAATAAAGAAAATAAAAAACCGAATCGAAAAATTGCAAAGCGAAAAATTGTAGACATGAAAAATTGAAAAATCGGAAAATTAAAAATTGGAAAGTCGTGAAATTCCAAATGGAAAAATTGCAAAATCCAAAAATTGAGGAAACAAAAAATTTAGAAAATTGAAATAAAAGAAACACAAAATAATAAAATCGGAACATTGAACAATCGAAAAATTGTAAATGGACCGATTAAAAAACCGAAATGAAAAATTGAAAACAGAAAATTTCAAGAATTGAAAAATTGAAGAATCAAAAATTCGAAAAGCCTAATAAATGGAAAGTCGAAAATTTTAAAAAACTAAAATCGTAAAATTCAAAAAGTGAATTAGTTTAAAATTATTTTATTATTATTGTATATTAAAAATTAAAACTATAAAAATTGTAAATCAAAAATACCAAAGATAAAAATTGAAAAATCATGAAACTGAAAAATCTAAAATTGAAAAAATTAAAAATCAAATAATCTAAAAGTTGAAAAATCGAAAAATTGAAAAATTTCACCTTAAAAAAGGAAAAAAGATAAAATCAGAGCAATGAAAAAACCAAAAATTGAAAAAATAAAAAAAATAAACCGAAACAAAAGATTGAAAGTCGAAAAATTGAAGACATGAAAAATTGAACAAACGAAAAACTGAAAAATTAAAAAATTGTAATTACTTAAAAAACTATTATTGCATATGTAAACTGAAAAGTATAAAAATTAAAAAAAATTGGAATAAACGGAAAATTGAAAAATCAAGAAACTGAAAAATTTTAAACTGAAAAAACGAAAACTTAAAGTCCAAAAGTTCAAAATTGAAAACCCAACACATTACAAAATCCAAAAATTGAAAAATTTTACTTAAAAAAAAAGAAAATTTATAAAATCAGAACACTGAAAAACCGTAAAGGTAAAAAAAAATAATTAATTAAAAATTGCAAATGGAAAATTTGAAGACATGAAAAATTGAAAAATGGAAAATTTGCAAAACCTAAAATTGGAACATCTAGAAGCTGGAAAATCTGAAAAATGAAAAATTTAAAGATGAAATGAAAACTCGAAAAGTTGGTTGTCGTAAAATTGAAGAAACAACAAAAAATAAAAATTCAATAATTTCAAATCAAAAAATTGAAGAAATGAAAAACTGAAAAAAATTGGAATTAAATAAACAAAAACTTGAAAAATGTGTATTACTGAAGATACAAAAAAAGATAAATACAAAAATTCAAAATCAAAAAACTGAAGAAATGAAAGATTGAAGAAATGATAAATTGAAAAAATTGGAACTGAAAAACAAAATTTGGAAAAATGAAGAAACAAAAAAAGCGAAACGAAAAATTGCAAATCGGAAAATTGAAGACTTGAAAAACAATTAAAAATTGAGAACTCCTGAAATTGCGAAATCTGAAAATTGAAACATCTAAAAGTTGGCAAATCGATAAAAAGAAAAATTTAAATATGAAAACTCGAAAAGTGCGTGACATACAACTTAAGATAAATTCAAAAATTTCTAATCAAAAAAATTGAAGAAACGAAAGTTTGAAAAAATGAAGAATTGAAAAACTGAAAAGTCGAATAAATGAAAAAGCTTAAAATCCAACAATTGAAAAACTGAAAAATTCTAACATCGTAAAATTGAGAAAATGAAATATTAAAAGAAATATTGCTTATTTATAAAAATTTGAAATTAAAAATTGAATAAACATAAAATTGAAAAATCATGAAATTGAAAAAGTTTAAACTGAAAAAACAAATTAAAAATCTGAAAACCAAAAAATCACACAATCCAAAAATTGAAAAATTATAAAATAAGAACACCTAAAAACCGAAAAAGTAAAATAAATAATTAATTAAAAATTGCAAATCGAAAAATTGTTGACATGAAGTATCGAAAAATGGAAAAATTGAAAAATTAAGAATTGAAAATTCCTGAAATTGCAAATCGAAAAATTGCAAAATCTAAAAGTTGAAAAATCGAAAAGTTGGTTGTCGTAAAATTAAAAAAACAAAAAAAATAAAAATTCAAATGAAATAAAAGATGAAAGAAACGAAAAATTGAAAAAAAAATTAAGAAACAAAAAAAGCGAAACGAAAAATTGAAGACATGGAAAACTGAACAGACCAAAAAAACTGAAAAATTAAAAATTGAAAACTCGTGAAATTCCAAAATCTAAAAATTGAATCATCTAAAAGTTGGAAAATCGATGAAATTAAAATTTAAAAATGAAAATCCGAGAAGTTGTTTGTCGTAATACTAAAGAAACAAAAAAAGATAAATTCAAAAAATTAAAATAAAAAAAAATGAAGAAACAGAAGTTTTAAAAAATGAAAAATTGAAAAAATTGGAATTGAAAAAACAAAAATTTATAAAATCATACATTGACAAATTGAAAATTTGCGAAAATAAAACAAATAAAAAACCGAAACGAAAAATTGAATATTGAAAATTTGCAGAATTGTAAAATTGAACAACCCAAAAAAATGGAAAGTTGAATAAATGAACAAGTTTTAATATCCAACAATTGAAAAACTGAAAAATTCTAACATCGTAAAATTGAGAAAGTGAAAAATCATGAAAGTGAAAATTTTAAAACAAAAGAAACGAAAAATTAAAAATCTAAAATTTCCAAATTGAAAGCCAAAAAATTGAAAAATTTCACCAAGGAAAAAAGAAAAATTGTAAATTAGAAAACTGAAAAACCAATAAACTGATAAAACAAATAAATCAAAAATTGCAAATCGGAAAATAAAGGTATAAAAAATTGAAAACTATAAAAATTGTAAAATTAAGAATTGGAAACTCGTGAAATTGCAAATCGAAAAATTGCAAAATCTAAAAAGTGAAACATCTAGAAGCTGGAAAATTGAAAAAATGAAAAATTTACGAAAAATTGGTTGTCGTAAAATTGAAGAAAAGAAAAATGAAAAATTAAAAAATTTCAAATCGAAAAATTGAAGAAATAAAAAGTTGAAAAAATCGGAATTGAAAAAACAAAACATTGAAAGAATAAAGTCAATAAAATAGCGAAATGAAAAATTGAAAGTCGGAAAATTCCAGACATGAAAAACTCGTGAGATAGCCAAATCTAAAAACTGAAACATCTCAAAATTGAAAAATCGGAAAAATGAAAAATTCATAAATTTTAAATAAAAAAATTGAAAAATTGAAAAAACAGAATTGAAAAAACAAAAAATTATAAAATCGGACATTGACAAAATGAAAAATTGTAAAAATAAAACAAAAAAAAACTAAAGGAAAATAGCAAATCGAAATTTTGAAGAATTGAAAAATTCAAAAATCAAAAAACTGAAAAGTCGAATAAATGAAAAAGATTTAAAATCCAACAATTGCAAAGTAGAAAAAATGGAAAATACTAAAATTGAGAAAGAGAGATATTTAAAAAAATTGTATTGTATATTTAAAATAAAAAATCTATCAAAATTTCAAATCAAAAATTGAACAAACGGAAAATTGAAAAATCATGAAACTGAAAAACGAAAAATTAAAACTCTAAAAGTTAAAAATTGAAGTAAAAATTTCACATTAAATAAAGAAAAATTAAAAATGAGGACATTGAAAAACCGAAAAAATGAAAAAATAAAGGAATTAATAATTGCAAATCGAAAAACTCTAGGTATGAAAAATTGAAAAATGGAAAAATTGAAAACTCAAAAAATTGCAGATCGAAAAATTATAAAATCTAAAAATTGAAACATCTAAAAGTTGGAAAATCGAAGAAATGAAAAATTCTAAAATTTAAAACCAAAAAATTCAAGAAAGGAATGAAATAATGAAAAATTGGAAATTAAAAAATAAAAAATTAAAAAATCGGACACTGACAAATTGTAAAAATAAGCAAAAATGAACCGAAAGGAAAATAGCAAATCGAAAATTTTAAGACTTGAAAAATTGAAGTTTCGAAAAACTGAAAATTCCAATAAATGAAAAAAAATTTAAAATCGAACAATTAAAAAATGGAAACATTCTAATATTGTAAAATTAAGAAACAGAAATGTTTTAAAAAAGATTGCATATTTAAATCCAAAATGATAAAAATTGCAAATTAAACTGTGAACAAACGGAAAATTGAAAAATCATGACACTGAAAAATCTAATACTGAAAATATGAAAAATTAAAAATTTAACTGTTCAAGATTGAAGACCACAAATGCCAAAAATTGAAAAATTTTACGTTGAAAAACCGAAATAGTGAAAAAATAAAGAAATTAAAAATTGCAAATCGAAAACTTCTAAAATTGAAAAATTGAAAATTTGAAAAATAAACTTAAAAACTCGGAAAAATGAAGAAATGAATGAAATAACTTTCGACCAATTTTTTTACCCAAAATGTGTTTATTTTTGTCCCTCACTTTTACGACCAACTTTAATGACAAAATTGTGCCAACTACAATAGACTGCTAAACCCCAAACACCCAATTCCTGAAACCATAGAGCCTTCAATACCGCAACCTGAAATTTCATTTCGCCAAAAAATCTATCAAAAATACGACGAAGCGGAGCAAATTTACGATTCAACAGTAAGACTCCAAATAATCTATAAACTCCCAATTTCACAGCTTCGTTTAAGTAACACAAACACCATAAATTCCGGCAATTTTCTCCTCAAACTATCAAACCCATCGCGCTCTAAATCAGGCAGCCGTCCCATCCACCTGCTCTCAACCACTCAAAAATTAACCACTCCGCTCTTTGCAGGAAAACTCAGCGACGACTCCATCATCTCCAACAACAACAAATGGTCAATGAGCCCCCAATCCTGCAACACGGCACTGCTCGTCCACCAGGCCAACAAGGTCCTCTCGTCTCAGCCGTCACACCTCCAATCCCACCACGGCTCTCACGCCGCCGCCGCCGCCGCCGCCGCCCTCTCCTCCCCCTTCACATCGTTACTGGGCGCGAGCGGAGGGGCGGCGTCGTACCTGCTAGGAGACCATCTGAAGCCGACAGCTGCGGCCAACCACTTGTTTTAAAAAAAGCACTACGGTTTAGGCATATTTGTGTCCTTGCGACGCTTTCATGGGATTAGCGATTCAGATCAGAATAGAATAACCTGCACAACCTTCAATTATATTTAAACGGTGTTTATGTTCGCGGAAGCTAAGAATGGAAATTTTATGATTATTTTCCGCGGGTCTGGTGTTTTGTTCAGCGAGTGGCGGCTTTCAGAATTCGACGCAGGTTGTCATCCCCGCGACATCGCGACCGTTTGAACGCGAGGTCCGAGCGAGCCGGATGTGTTTGATGTGGCGTAGGTCAGTTTTGATATAGTAGCCGGCGCTTGGTTCTTGGATTCGCGAAGTAAAAAATCGCCGTCCTTCGCTTAAAATACGGATGGCGGCTAATTTTACCGTACGGACACCTGTACATTGTTCTTTTTCGGGGAGCCGCCGCTGCCAAGTTGGCCGTCCAATTTTTTTATCACTTGTTTGTACAAGTTTTGTTTATTCGAGGGGATAAATAAGGAGGGCAATTAGGCTAATGAATGGAATTGTTGCTGGTGGAAATCGGGGTCCGGTGAAAGCGTCCGCACAGTGGAAATCCGTCACACTCTAAATTGATTCGAATTATACGATTGGTATACGGATTTTCTTGAGTCTATATTGTACATAGGATATTGTATACTAAGGATTGTGTCTTTGTATTTTTTAAGTGACTGTATATTTGTACATATAAGAGGAATATTTGTGTTCATCTTAGCCGTGTAATTTTCGAGGTTGTTCACAGTATCATTCTACTTCACCTTCTAGTCCACTATTGTAATAATTTCGTGTAAAGCTAATAAAAATTAAAATTTGAAAGGCGTGTTGGCTGATTCACCTTCCCGGTTTTCAGGTGTAGCAACGAACAGCTTCTGTTCGAAAAAGTAGCTCAAAACATGCAGTTTTAATAAAAATATAATTTTGTGTGTTTTAATAAAATATAAATTTCAAGAATTTAAAGTTGACTAGAACTTGAAATACTCATATTTAGTAAGAAAAAATCAAAATTGTGTAACATTTTGCAATTTAACTTTGAAAATGCAAAACCGAATGCTCTGGAATCTTGCAAAAGTGTTAAAGTTATCGTAAATCGTTAGTCAAGATTTTTTCGTTTCTGCCCTTACCAAAATATGTTTGTCATTTTACAATTTTGCCGATTGAATTTTACTCTTGTATGTGTGATTCATGAATCCGTGTTGAGTGTTTATAGTAGATGTCCAGTTTTTTGTAAAAAAGTCAAAATTGTTAACATTTTACAATGTAACTGTGAATTTGCAAAACATAATGCTCTGAAATCATAAACGCTTTGAGGTTATAGGAAGAATGTTTCAATTTTCAGTTTTTTGAACATTTAGATTTTTTAAATTTCTGGATTTTGAATTTCTGATATTTCGAATTTTCGTTTCTTCAATTTTCGATTTTTCTTCTTTCGATATTTCGTTTTTTCTATAAATCGATTCTTGGATTTTCCGATATTTCGATTTTTGAATTCTTGATTTTTCGGCTTCTCGATTGCGATTTTTAGATTTTCGAATTTTGGGTCACTCGATTTTTGATTACTGAAGTTGTGGTTTTTTCGGTTTTGTGAATTTCCGATTTTCGGTTTCCCAATTTTCCAATTTTCGGTTTGTTCATTTTTCGAAATTCGATAGACTTTTCGACTTCCCATTTTTTAATACTTCGAATTTTCAATTTTTCGAATTTTCAATTCTGAAATTTCTAATTTTCAATTTGTCCATTTTTCAAATTTTCGATTTTTTGTTCTTCAAATTTTTATTTTTTTAATTTCTGTTTGTCGACATTTTGATTTTAGATTCTTCCTCGTTCAATATTTCGTTTTCTCTATATTTCGATCCTTAGATTTTTCTCGATTTGAGAATTTTGGACTTTTCAGTTTTTCGATTTGCGATTTTTAGATTTGCGAATACTTGATTCAACGAATTTTCTATTTTTCGGTATTCGAATTTTCAATTTGCTTCCGTTTTGATTCTAGATTTTTCAAATTTTCGGTTTTTCAGATTGTCGTATTCGAATTTTCAATTTTCGATTTGTTCGTTTTCGAAATTCGAATTTTTTACTCTTTACATTTTCCATTTCCGGATTTTTCGAATTTCCGTTCCTTCAGTTCTCGAATTTTCGACTAATTGATAGATCGAATTTTTCGATACTCCGAATTTTCAATTTTTTTAATCTTCAATTTTTGAAAATTCAAATTTTCGATGTTTCCATTCCTAGAATTTTGGATTTTTCGAGATTTGATTTTCGTTTTAAATTTCTATTTCTAGATTTTTCAATTTTTCCATTTTTCGATTTTTCAGTTTTTCAATTTTAGAATATTCGATTTTTCGTTTTTTCCGTATTTCGATTATTGGATTTTTTGAATTTTCGATATTTCGATTTTCGAATTTTTCATTTTTCAGTTTTTCGATTTTTCAGCTTTTTTACTTTAAAATTTTTTTGATTTCTCTAGTTTTCAATTTTCGAAACTTGAATTTTCAATCTTTCTATTTTGTGATTTTTTCTTTTTTCAGTTTATACATTCTTCAGTTTTTCGCTTTTTCAACATTTTTTAATTTTCTATTTCTGATGTTTTAAGTTTTCTATTTTTCGAATTTCGGATTTGTCGATATTGGAAATTTCAATATTTTTAATTTCGATTTCCTGATTTTTCAATTTGTTCATTTTTTCTCGATTTTTGGATTCTGGAATCTTCGATTTTTCGAATTTCGAAATTTCGTTTTTCCCAGATCTCGATTCTTGGATTTCCGATAACTCTGTTTTCGAATTTTTGATTTTTCGGTTTTTTTGGATTTTCCAATTTTTGGTTTTCCGAATTTTCGGATTTTTGTTTTTTCGAATTCGAGAAAATTTTAGTTTTTTTTCTATTTCTAACCTTTCCAATTTTTCCATTTTTGAATTTTAGACTTTTAATTTTTTTTTCTATATTTAGATATTTAGGATTTTTCGAATTTTCGATATCTGGATATTCGAATTTTTGATTTGTTGGTTTTTCGATTTGCGATTTTTGGATTTTGAATTTTCGATTTTCCGATTTTTTGGATTCTTCGTTTTTTCGAATTTTCGTTATTCGAATTTTTAATTTTTGATTTTTTGAATTTTCAATTATCAGTTTTTCCATTCTTGTTTTTCGATCTTTCAATATTTTTTTCTTTCCAATTTTTGAATTTTTAATTTTGCGATTTTTCACATTTTTTACTTTTCGATTTTTCGAATTTTCGGTTTTTTCATTTGATTTTCCAATTTTTCAATTTTTTTACTTCTCGATTTTTCGTTTAGAATTTCGTTATTGATAATATTTGTAAAACGAATTTTCTATTTTTCGATATTCAAATTTTGAATTTGTTTACTTTTCGATTTCTCGGTTTTTCAATTTCTCAGTTCTTCGATTTTCGATTTGTTCGTTTTCGAAATTTAAATTTTCAATTTTTTAGATTTTAATTCTTCTATTTCACGATTTTTCAAATTTTCGTTTATCACTTCTGGATTTTTCGATTTATTGAAATTTCGATACTTCGAATTTTTGAGTTTTTGAATTTTCAATTTTTGAAATTTTAAATTTTCGATTTTCCTTTTCTCGAATTTTAGTTTTTTTTCTAATTCTAGATTTTTGAATTTTTCCATTTTTCTACTTTTCAATTTTTCAATTTTAGAATTTTCGATTTTTCGGTTTTTCTATTATATTTCGATTCTTGGATTTTTCGAATTTTCGATATCTCGATTGTCGAATTTTTGATTTTTTGGTTTTTTGATTTGCGATTTTTGGACTTTCGAATTTTCGGTTTTCCAATTTTTGAAGTTTTTGTTATTTAGAATATTTGTTAAAACAAATTTTCTATTCTTCAATATTTGAATTTCCAATTTGTTTATTTTTCGAATTCTCGATTTTTCAATTCCTCAGTTTTTCGATTTTTCAAATTTTCAATTTGTCAAATTGTCGTTTTCGAATTTTCGATTTTCGATTTGTTCGGTTTCGAAACTTGAATTTTCAATTTTTTTACATTTTACTTTTTCTATTTCCCGATTTTTTGATTTTTCGAATTTTCGTTACCACTTCTAGGTTTTTCGATTTTTCGAATTTTCATTTTTTCAATTCTTGATTCTTTGAATAATTGATTCATAGAATTTTTCGATAAGTCGAATTTTCGATGTTTCCATTTCTTGAATTTTGGATTTTTCGAGATTGAGAATTTTTTTCTATTTCTAGATATTTCAATTTTAGAATATTCGATTTATCGTTTTTTCTATATTTCGATTCTTGAATTTTCCGAATTTTTGATTTTTTGGTTTTTCGATTTGTGATTTTTGGATTTTCGAATTTTCGGTATTCAGATTTTTGGAATTTTCATTATTTCGAATGTTTGATAAAACGAATTTTCCATTGTCCGATATTCGAATTTTCAATTTGTTTATATTTTACTTTTTCTATTTCCCTATTTTCCGAATTTTCGTTTTTCACTTCTAAATTTTTCGATTTTTCGAATTTTCACTTTTTCAGTTTCCGATTTTTTGAATAATTGATTCATCGAATTTTCGATTTTTTGAATTTTGAATTTTTCTATGTTTCCATTTCTCCAATTTTGGATTTTTTGAGATACGATTTTTTTTTCTGTTTCCATTTTTCGACTTTTCAATTTTAAAATATTCGATTTTTCGGTTTTTCGATTTGCGATTTTTAAAATTTCGAATTTCCTTTGTTTCGAATATTTGATTCATCGAACTTTGGATTTTTCGATTCTCCAGTGTTTCAACTTTTCGATTCTCCAATTTTGAAACTTTTCAAATTTTTTACTTTTCAATTTTTTAGTTTCTCTGGTTTTCAATTTTGGAAACTTGAATTTTCAATTTTTTACTTCGTGTTTTTCCCTTTTTTCAATTTTTACATTCTTCAGTTTTTCACTTTTTCAACATTTTTTACTTTTCGATTTTGTGAGTTTTCCATTTTTCGAATTTTGGATTCGTCGTTATTAGAAATTTCAATATTTTTAATTTCGATTTCCTGATTGTTCAATTTGTATCGACCTGTCGACTTCGCGACTTTTTGATTTTAGAAACTTCGATTTTTCGAATTTCGAAAGTTCGTTTTTCCCATGTTTCGATTTTTGGATTTTCCATATCACGATTTTCGAATTTTTGATTTTTCGATTTTTCTATATTTCATGTTTGTATTTTAGAATTTTCCGATTTTGTTTTTTAAAATCTTTGATTCTACTTTCTCGAGTCTTCTTTTTTTTCAAATTTTTGATTTTTCGAATTTTCGATTGTCCGAAAAATTGAACGAACCAAAAACTGAAAAACTGAAAATCTGAAAAACCGAAAAATTGAAAAAAAACGAAAATCCGAAAAATCGATAAATCAAAAAACCCAAAAACTGAAAGATCGAATACAAGAAATCGAATAGAAGAAATCAGAAAATCGAAAATTCGAAGAATTGAAATATCAATTCGTGAAATTGAAAAATCGAAAATTTGTACAACGTATGCAATCGAAAAGCTGGGAAATGGAAGAATTAAAAAACCGAGACGACGAATAATTGAAAAATGGAACAAGTGAAAAATCGAAATTTTGAGTAATTGAGAGATAGAGAAATCGAAAAATCCAGGACGAGAAAGACGAAATCGAAAATTTGAAAAATCTAGAGATGAGAAATCACAAAGTCGAAAAATCAAAACGAAAAATCCAGTTTTCGTTCGACAATCGAATTTTCAATTTTTTTACTTTTCGATTTTTCAACTTTTTTACGATTTTTAATTTCTTGAGTTCTCGATTTTTCGATTTTAGAATTAGATTTCGAGATTTATTTGGCGAGAGAAGTTCTGTCGAATTAATCTCCTACCATTTTTTTCATAAATGTTATATTTTTTGTGCCTACGACGTTTACATTTTTGCTATTTGAACCCAAATGTTTCAAGCGATATTATAATTTTGTGTTAAATTTTATCTACATGGTAGCATAGTGACCTTGATTATTATAAACTACCAGAGAATCGACAGAGCAGACAGACATTAATAGCACCAGTTCTCGACGACTGTGATCCTTATCAACAAGCAAATAAAGGCGAAAATTAAAAAGTGAACATAAATATAAAACGGTTGGAAGTAAATTACGTCGTTGTGTTATTTTTAGTTATATAATGATTAGTGACGCTAAGAATTAGTATTTTATGAAAATATTCAAAATGTATTTAGAAAGAAAAAATATAGATGTGATTTAAAACCCTGTTAGCCAACTTGTAACATATAAAATGAAAAAAAAACCCTGATAATTCATAAAAAATAAATTAAAAAAGCAATTTAATCTAGTTTTCGTAATCAACCTTGCAGGTCCTTTATCAACGAAAAAACACTTCAAAATAAATTTTTGGAACTAAAATGATTATTAAAAACCGATCATTCTGATTGTAAAATTGGAATAAATATTTTGGCCCACAACTGCAACCTTACAACAAACCCGGGCGAAATAATTTTGCATAAATATAGAACATCACCTGTCTAATAAGAATCCTAGGAAAATTTGCACCTGTGCTGCAATTTCCACAAAAAAAAAACAATATTTTCATGAATTTGCGTTTTCGAAATAATTATTATTTCTTAAATCGTACCTAATTAGACTTAAGTTTTAGTATTTTTTGGCTAAAAATAAACCCAAATAAATTACTTCAATAAAACGGTAAAATTATAGCCACCCTCCCACTCCCACAAACCCAATCAGTGACGCCGCATACTTCTAGAATATTTCTTGATAATGAAAACTGAATAATCTACTAAATATAGTGATACAACACTCCGTCACGCCGCATGGTGGGACTCTCTCCCTATAAAAGCGTCCCGACGCCTCCCAGCGTCAGTTTCTCAGTGTAGACCCTCCACCAAAATGTCTCTGGAACGCCAAGTCCGCGCAAAACTCGCCTCCAAACGCGACCCCCAGCAGGACAAGGAGGCGCAGGAATGGATCGAGACCATCCTCGGCGCCAAGTTCCCCCCAGGTGAGCTCTACGAGGACGTCATCCGCGACGGGACCGTCTTGTGCCAGGTCATGAACAAGCTCTCCCCCAACTCCGTCCCCAAGATCAACACCTCCGGGGGGCAGTTCAAGATGATGGAGAACATCAACAAGTGAGTATTTTTTTGTGTAAAAAAACGCGAAACCAACGCGCTTTCAGCTTCCAGGCCGCTTTGAAGACCTACGGAGTCAACGACGTGGACGTCTTCCAGACCGTGGACCTGTGGGAAAAGAAGGACATCGCCCAGGTGACCAACACCATCTTCGCCTTGGGCAGGCAGACCTACAAGCACCCGGAGTGGCCCGGCCCGTGGTTGGGCCCCAAGCCCTCCGACGAGAACAAGAGGGAGTTCAGCGAGGAGCAGCTCCGGGCCGGGGAGAGCATCATCGGGCTGCAGGCCGGGCAGAACAAGGGGGCTTCCCAGGCTGGTCAGAACATCGGCGCTGGCCGCAAGATCATTCTGGGAAAGTAATCCCGCTTTTCTAATTTCCACGAGGTTTTTTATTTGTTCTTATATGGAAGATTCTTAATAAATTTATTTATTTATAAGCGGAGTTTTACTGGCGATGTGGGTCGGAGGTGGGTGGTTCTAAATCCGAACCATTTCCATAAATATTGGGGACGCGTCAGGGTCATGTTTCGCGGAGCGAAAATAGAACGGAGAGGTGTCGATTTTTGTTTATTTGGGGGGCGGGAGGGGGGAGTTGTTTGGTTATGAGGTGTGAATTGGTTGCAGGGATTGTTTGGATGAGGAGGGTATTTATGGGGAAGTGCGGACAGGTTTCGATGTTGGGTGGAAAAGTGATGATTTGGGTAAATATCGAAAGAAAAATTTTACATTAATAGGAAAATTATGTGGGTGAGGATGTCGGCAATCGTGTAACGAAACGTTTGACCTGATTTAAAAATAGGTGACTTTTACTGCACTTTAATCATTTTTAGTACACGTGTCACTGGGAAAAAATGCAAATTGGACAGTAATATACAGGATGTGATATTTGTTATTTTCCCAGAAAGATGTTGTAAGTGTTGAAATAAAGCTATAGAGTACTTAAGTCCGTGACTTGACATACTGTAACATAGACTGATCAGTTTTCTGCCTGTGTAATCTGGGCTTTCAAAGTCAAAGGGGTTATTCGAAGTTTTCGCCAGACGTGAAACTGACGTTTATTTCTTTGGAATGAAAGTTTTATTACCTAATTTTATTTTTTCGTACCTTAATGACTGTGCGAACTTTATCGTGTTTTCTTTTCGATTCGTTCATTTATATTTATCTGACAGTTATTTTCTTGAAAAATTACAAAAAAATTAAACAACGATTTGTTTTGAGAATTTTAAGTATAATCTGTTAACAATATTTAGTGAACTCAAAAAATAAACACATAAACAGTCTTTCATTGTTTGCACAAATTTTCCATTTTTTTTGTATTTTAGGTAAGGTTTATGGCAAAATTTTGATAGAAGGGTGTTTCGACAGAAGTTCCTCACCCTTAAAGTAAAGCCCAATAAATTCAGCCTCTTAGAAAGATTATAAAATTGATAACCTCTATAAAGTAAATAACAACTTCGAAAAATCGAAAATCGAGAAAATAGAAAAATCTTCCAGAAAGCCAAAAAATCGAAAATTGGAACATCGACACGTAAAAAGTTTGACAATTCTTATATCGAAAAATCTACAATAAAAATATCGAAAAATAAAAAATTGAAAAATCGCAAAACTGAAACATGGAACCACGAAAAATTCGAGAAATCGAAAAGTAAATAACTGAAGTCTAAAAACTGAAGAATGTAAAAATTGAAAAATCCAAAATTTGAACTTTAATTTTTTTATTCTAAACTTTTTCAATTTCTGGATTATTCAGTTTTCCGAATTTCCGATTTTTCGAATTGTTGGTTTTCAATAATTCCATTCTCCCGATTTCTCTAGACTTTTCAATTTTTTTACTTTTCGATTTTTCGATATTTGAATTTTCGGTCTTTTTATTTTTCGATCTTTGAATTTTTTTACTATTCAATTTTTGATTTTTTGATTTTTCAATTTTTCAGTTTTTTTATTTTTCGATTTGATTATTTCTCGAGTTCCTGGTTTTCGCTTTTTCGATATCTCGATTTTCGAATTCTTAATTTTTGGGTTTTTGATTTGCGATTTTTGGACTTTCCAGCTTTCGATTTTACAATTTTTCGATAATCGAATTTTCATTTTATTTGGTTTTCGAATTTTGGAATTTTGTGAATTTCTCAATTATACGATTGTTCAAGTTTTAGATTTTTCGATTTTCGATTTTCAATAATTCCATTCTCCCATTTTTTAGCCTTTTCAATTTTTTTACTTTTCGATTTTTCCATATTCGAAGTTTCAGTTTTTCACTTTTCAATTTTTTGATTTCTCGAGTTTTCGGTTTTAGATTTTCGAATTTTCCAAGATTTCTGCTTTTGGATTTTTCGATTTTTCAATTTTTACATTCTCCACTATTTAGACTTTTCAATTTTATTACTTTTCTATTTCTCGAATTTTCAGTTTTTTCGTTCTTCAGTTTTTTAAATTTTCAGTTTTCTTAATTTTTGGATTTTTTGATTTTTCGAGTTTTTGGTTTTTAGAATTTTGATTTTTTTTTTAATATATTTCCATTTTTCGCTATTTCCAATTTTCGATTTTCAAATTTTCTATTTTTCTTCTTTCCATATTTCGTCTTTTCTATATTTCGATTTTTTGATTTTTCGATATCTCGATTTTCGAATTATTGGTTTTTCGGTTTTCCAATTTTTCGGTAATCGAATTTTCAATGTGTTTGCTTTTCGATTTCTCGATTTTTCAAATTCTCAATTCTACGACTGTTCAAGTTTTAAATTTTTCGAATTTTTGGTTTTCAATAATTTCATTCTGCCATTTTATAGACTTTTAATTTTTTTACTTTTCGGTTTTCGGATATTCGAATTTTCAGTTTTTTACTTCTCGATTTACAATTTTCCCGTTCTTCAGTTTTTCGATCTTTCATTTTTTTTTACTTTTCAATTTTTGATTTTTCAGGTTTCCGATTTTCGAAGCTCGAGTTTTCAATATTTCTATTTTTTTATTTTTCGATTTTTCAGTTTGTACATTCCTCAGCTTTTCGACTTTCCAATTTTTTTACTTTTCGATTTTTTGAATTTTCAGTTTTTTCATTCTACAGTTTTTCAATTTTTCAGTTTTCTTAAATTTTGGATTTTTTGATTTCTCGAGTTCTTGGTTTTTAGGATATTCGATTTGTGGTTTTTAGAGTTTTCAATGTTTTTAATTTATATTAACGATTTTTCTATTTTTCCATTTTTCGACTTCTCGGTTTTACAATTTTTAATCTTTGTAATTTTGAATTTTTTTAATGTATGTATTTCGAATTTTCGATTTTTCAAATTTTCAATTTTTCGACTTTTGATTTTAGAATTTTCTATTTTTCTTCTTTGGATATTTCGATTTTTCTTTGTTTCGATTTTTTGATTTTTCGATATCTCGATTTTCGGTTTTTCGATTTTCCAATTTGTAGAATTTTCGTTTTTTCGAATTGTTGATTCATCGAATTGAAACTACTGAACCGATTGTTGTCGAATTTCAAATATATGGTAAAGCACTAACCAAAATTTGATGACGTCATTACCAAAATTCACATTAGTAAATGATTATTTTAATTTTATAAAATATTTTTAAAATTTTCAATTTTTCCATTTCTAGAATTTTCGATCTTCCATTTTTTATTTTTTTAATTTAGTCTTTTCGATTTTTCAATTTTTCTATTTTTCGACTCTCCGATTTTAGAATTATCGACTTTACTTCTTTCGATATTTCGTTTTTTCTATGTTTTGATTCTTGGATTGTTTGATTTTTCGGTATCTCGAATTTTGAATTTCGGATTTCTCGTTTTTTCGATTTACATTGTTTAGGTTTTCGAATTTTCGGTGTCTGATTTTTGGAATTCTTCGATTTTTCGAATTTTCAATTTTTGATCTTTTGAATTTTCGATTTTCAATTTTTCTATTCTTCTGCTTTTTGATCTTTCAATTTTTTTTTTCTTTTCTATGTTTGATTATTCGATTTTTCAGTTTTTACATTCTTCAGTTTTTAGACTTCAATCTCTTTACTTTCGATTTCTCGAATTTTCAGTTTTTTCGTTCTTCAGGTTTTCAATTCCTCAATTTTTTTACTTATCGATTTTTCGATATTCGAATTTTTATTTTTTTATTTTTTAATTTTCAGTTTTTCCATTCTTCAGTTTTTCGATCTTTCAATTTTTTCGCTTTTCAATTTTTTTATTTCCCGAGTTCTCGATTTTTCGAATTTTTGGTTTGTGGAATAAAAAATTTCAATTTTTTTAATTTCGATTTCCCGACTTTTCAATTTCTCCACTTTTTAATTTTTCTATTTTAGAATTTTCAATTCTGTGATTTTTCGATATCTCGATTTTCGAATTTTTGATTTTTTGTTTTTCCAAATTTTCAATATTTCTACTCTTTAATTTTTCGATTTTTACATTCTTTAGTTTTTCGACTTTTCAATTGTTTTATTTTTCGATTTCTCAAATTTTCAATTCAATTTTTCAGTTTTCTCAATTTTTGGATTTTTTGATTTCTCGAGTTTTTGGTTTTTAGAATTTTCAATGTCGTTTTTGAAATTATTAATTTTTCGACTTTTCGGTTTTAGAATTTTCTATTTTTCTTCCTATATTTCGGTTTTTTCATTCTTTGATCTAGTTTTCGGTTTTTCAACTTCTAAAATTTTCTATTTTTCGAATTTTTGACTCATCGAATCGAAACTACTGGACTGATTGTTGTCAAATTTTATATGCGTATTAGGATTATCATGTGTATGGCAAAACACTAACCAAAATTTGGCTAATCCCCATCCTCAAAATGATGACCAAAATTTACATTGATAAATGATATTTAAATTTTATAAAATAAGATACTCCTCCAGTTGTGGTTTATGAATCCGTGTTAGATTTTACCCTAGACGTCTAAAGCTTTTGGAAAAAAATACAACTTTAGATTTTTCAAATTTTCAATTTTTCCATTTTTAGATTTTAAAGTTATCGACTTTCCTTTATTCGATATTTCATTTTTTCCAGGTTTCGATTTTTGGATTGTTCAATTTTTCGAAATCTCGAATTTAGAATTTTCGTTTTTCGGGATTCTTTGATTTTTCGAATTTAAGGTTTTTGACTTTTTGAATTTTCGATTTTTCAATTTTTCTATTCTCTAGTTTTTAGATTTTTCAGAGTTTTACTGATTTTTCGATGTTCGAATTTTAGTTTTTTATTTCTCGATTTTCATTTCTCCGTTTTTCCATTTTTCGTTTTTAATTAATTTCTCGAGTTTTCTATTTCCGATCCTCGAATTTTCGATCTTTATGCTTTTTGATCTTTCGATTTTCAATTTTTTCAGTCTTGAATTTTCTTTCAGACTTTAATTTTTTACTTTCCGATTTCCCGAATGTTCAATTTTTCCATTCTTCACTTTTTCGATTTTTCAATTTTTTTTACTTTTCGGTTTTTTGACTTTCCGGAGCATTTTTCTATTTTTCGAAAATCGAAAAGTAAAAAATTGAAAAATCAAAAATGGAATAATCAAAAAATAGAAAGATTGAAAATTCGAGTAACGAAAACTCGAGAAATTAAAAAATCAAGAAGGAAACAAATTGAAAAACCGAAAAATTTTCCAGAAAGTCAAAAAACTGAAAACTGAAAAATTTAAACGAAAAAAGATTGAAAATTTTAATATCTAAAATTTTTTTAATTTTCGATTTTTTGATTTCTCAAGTTTTCGATTTCCAATACTCGAGTTTATGATCTCTATGCTTTTTGGTTTTTTGATTTTTTAATTTTTACGTTATTCACTTTTCAATTTTCTTATTTTCTGATTTTTTCTATTTTTCAATATTTTTTTTACTTTCGACTTTTTGACTTTCCGGAAGATTTTTCTATTTTGTCGCATTTTGAAACCATTGTCGACTTTTCGGAGAATAGAAAAAATGAAAATTCGAGTAATCGAAAAGTTAAAAATTGAAGTCTAAAAACTGGAAAATGTAAAAATTAAAAATTCAAAAATCGAACAGTTGAGAAAAAAAATTAAGAAAGAAACAAATTGGAAATTCGAATCTCGGAAAACCGAAAATTCTATGAAGCAAATATACGAAAAAACAAAAATCCAAAAAATAGGAAAAGCAAAAATTCGAAAACCTAAAAATCGAAAAATCGAACGATTGGATACTTTGCATATCTTAGATATGATTTGGCAAAATTTTGAGCTGACGTCACAGTGTTTTGGGAGGAGATAAATTAAGTATTGTCACACTATTCTGATTTTTTCAAAAATCTAGACGTTCAAAGTAAAAAATAAATAACACCATGAAGGTAAAAATTTCGTAAAAATCCACTAGTTTCGGTGAACATCTTTGACAGATGACAGACACCAAAAACACGGACCCACTTTTTTTTGTTCTAGGAATCATAAAAACCCGAAAACCTAGCTTAAGTTAGCCTTAGCGAACCGACTTCTTAGGCCGTCCCTGTCCATTCAATCAATAATTTGACTTTTTCTTTATTCACAGTAACTGTGCTCCATCTAGTGACAATATCCCTAACTACTACACAAATTTAGCAGACCCCGCTCCTACTTTTACCGTTTCCAACTTTCAACCACCAGATGGCTCTCACTTTTCTCCCAATCCTATCCCAATCCTGCAACAGGACCAACAGGAATTCTATATTTATCCCCGGCTCGTGCCATTGTTCACATTTAACACTTCCTTCACTAAATCTGCTTTAATGGTCTCTGTCTTGTAAACGTCTGCGCCAAATTTAAAGCTTAATTACATTTATCTTTAATAAATTAAACACGAATCCGCTTGTTTGTAAATTAAAGCCAGTCCCAATCAAGTTTTCGAATTTATTTATTCAGAAGAAAAATTACCTACTTAACAGTTTGTCCACCCGTGTCTTTGATGTTGGGTCTACAAGGTTTCTGCTTCGAAAAAGGGTCATTGTTGTCTTTTCGCTTAAAGGGACAACTCAGAATGCGCTCATTGTAGTAATAAAGACTGTTGTCCCCACGACATTGGGTGTTACCGCCCTTCAGGTCGCAAGGGCACAGCTCCTCTTGCGCGCGGATTCCTTCAAGGGAGAGCAACCATAAAAGGGCAGAGAGGATCAGGAGCTTGATGAAGGTATTCTTGGACACCATGGTATGGGCAGAACAAACATTTGTGGGTTTGATGAGGAATTTAGACAAACGTGAGTGACATGATAATGTGTCAAATTTTGTAATTAATTGAAGAGTACTGTCAAAAAAAAGTCAAAACTAGTGAAAAAATGATAAGGAATTAGGCAATAAAAAATCTGGAGATGAAACTATTTATTCATAATTACAGCAAAATAGAGTCAGTTGGTTTAACAAGCTTCGTTCTTCACAATTCTTAAGTTGCTTCTCGCTTGCCCTTGTTTCTTCAATTCGCAGTTGAAGGTGCACTTGTTGGCGTACGTGTTTCCATCAGAGGCGCAAACGGGGGCGAAAATCCTCGAACACACGCAGGACTTTTCGGCTTCCACTTGGTAGCTCACCAAAATCAGGAAAACCGACACGAGGAGGAGACTTTGAAGTTTGTTCAGACCCATTGTGCGATATTTACTCTCAGTGACTAAGTATTGTCACAGCAAACAACAAATTTATACATCGATAGTAGATAAGATAGCGACACTCATGGTTTTACCCTAATCTAGAAGTACGTCTGAGTGCTTGTCGAAAAGATTATTTATGACCGTCACATGAGTAAGTCCGCTTTGTTTTTTCTCGATTGTTTATGTTTGTTGTAAATTTGTTCCATTTATTTTACGAGATCTGGTTTATATTCGACTTCGAGTAAAAAATGGGGTCGCCGAATAAAAAAAGCTACTCGGAGAGTTTAATTTCCTGTAAATTAGCACTAGGTTGCGAATTTGTCAAAAAAATTGGCAACGGCTCTCAAACTTTGAAAGCTACGTAAACACTTGCGTGGGTCAAAACTTACAATAACAGTGTTACACACTACACATTTTTTAAAGTATATATAGAATAGATGAGTCCCAAAATTTACGGTACGGCGGGTTTTAGTAATTGTTGGTTGCAAATAGAAAAATGAAAAAAAATTGCGAGATTGTTTTGTGTTTAATTTTAGTCGTCTTCTAGAATTTTTGGTGGTTTTGTCACAACAGGGAGCAGAAAGATAAATTTAACGATATCTTGTAGGATAAGGTGATTCAATATCAATAGTCTACGTTACATATTTCTGATTTTTAAACTTACTTAGTATGCGATAATGTTGAAAGAGTATGATAAATTTATACATTTCCGTAATTTAAGATAAATTGCATCAGAAAAGTTCTTTACGTTTTGATTTGTTACAGGTCAGTTTAATATTTTTGCTTCGCGGGGGAACAGCAAATAAAATGATATTTATAAATAGACAAAATAAAATATTCAATTTTACTGCATTTACGTTTTCATTCTCATTCTCGTTGAACATTGTCGTTTTCATTATTGTTTTTATCTTGGTTTTTATCATTCTCGTCTCATTCATGTTCGCATTTATTTTCGTTCGTTCTCTTTTTTTTACTTTCTTGTTCTTAGTTTTCTTCTTATTTTCGTTCTTCTTATCGTTGTCTTTTCCGAGCTCATTCTTGTGCTTCTTCTCATTCTTGTTCATTTCTGGTTTTCGTGTATGTTGTCATATTCGGTGTCATTTTCGATTTTATTATGGTTGTCATTTTCGTTCTCCTTTTCATTCTAATTTTTATTTTATTTGGAAATTTGGTTCTGGTTTTTGTTCATATTTTTGTTCTGAATCACGTTTTCATTCTGCTTCTCCTTCTCTTCCTCACTCTCGTTCTTCTCTTAGTTTTCATTATTGTTCACGTTTTTATTCTTTTTTTTTTCACTTGGGTTTTTAATAGGTTTACACTCCCTTGTTCCATATCATTCTTATTTTTGTTTTTCAAGGAATTTCCGTTTTCGTTTTAGTCGTTATTCTCATCCTAATTGTTGTTGTCAACCACGTTCTCATTCTTGATCTCAGTCTCGTTCTTTTCTTGGTTTTCATTCTTGCTCTTGTCTTCTTTCTTTTTTTTTCATTTTCTGTTTTTACTCTGGTTTTTATTTTTGTTCTACGTTCTTTCTCATTCTCATTTTATTTTTAATTCTGGTTATTTTCAGGGTTTTCATTCTTGCTCAAATCTGCTTTATTTTTTTTTGTTATTTTCTTTTTCCCTCTCGTCTTTATTTTTCTTGTGGTATTCTTTCTTATTTTTCTCCATGTTTTTGTTTATTTTCGCTCTCTTTCTCACACTCTCCCGTTTTTGGTTTCCTTCTCATTCTTATTTTTATATTTCACGAAATTTTCGTTCTCTTTCTAGTGTCTATTCTCGTTCTAAAACTTATTGTCAATCACGTCCCATTCTCACTGTTATTTTCGCTCTCTTTCTGGTTTTTATTCTTGCTCTCGCTTTCCTTCTTTTTTTGTCATTTTCCGTTTTGACTCTGATTTTTATTGTCGTTGCGATGTTCTTTCCCCTTCTCATTTTTACTTTACATGGATTTTCGCTCTCGTTCTGGTCTCTATTCTCGTCTAATTCTTGTTGCCAACCACGCTTTCATTCTTGATGTTATTTTAGATTTCCTTCTCGTTCTCATTACTCTCATTCTTATTCTCATTCTCCTTCTAATTCTAATTCTTTTGCTAGTTCTTTTCTTGGTTATCATCTTGTTATTTTTTGGTCATTTTCTTTTTTTTTACTCTTATTTTTACTTTCGTTGCTGTATTCTTTCTTATTCTCCTTCACGTTTTCATTTATTTCTGTTTTCTTTCTCACATTCTCGTTCTTGGGTTCCTTTTCATTCTCATTTTATTTTTCTTGGAATTTTCGTTCTAGTTCGAGTCAATCTAGTCCCTATTCTTGTTTTAATTCTCATTGTGAATCTCGTTCTTTTCTTGGTTTTCCTTCCTGTTCTTTTTTTTTCATTTTCGGTTTTTATTCTGGGTTTTACTCTCATTGCGATATTTTTTTTGTCAATTTTGCTATTTTCATTTTACATGGAATTTTCATGTGGTTAGTAATGTTCTCATTCTTGATCTCATTCATATTTTCAGTCTCATTCTTGTTCTTATTCTCCTTCTCATTCTTTCTCTCAACCGCATTTTCATTTTCGTTCTCATGTTCCTAATCATTTTCCTTCTCATTATCCTTTTCATTATCCTTCTCACTATTTTTTTCATTCGCTATCTCATTCTCCTTGTCATTCTCCTTCTCATTCTCCTTCTTATTCTCCTTCTCATTCTCCTTCTTATTCTCATTCTCATTCGCATTCTCATTCTCCTTCTCATTCTCCTCCTCACTTTCCTTTTATTTCTGCTTCTCATTTTCCTTCACATTTCCTTCTCATTCTCCTTCTCATTATCCTTTTCATTCTCCTTATCATTATTCTTCCCATTATCCTTCTCATTATCCTTCTCATTTTCCTTCTCATTCTCTTTCTTATTCTCCTACTCATTCTCCTTCTCATTCTCCTTCCTATTCTCCTTCTCATTCTCCTTCTTATTCTCCTTCTCCTTCTCATTCTCCTTTTCATTCTCCTTCTCATTTTCCTTCTCATTCTCCTTCTCATTCTCCTTCTCCTTCTCATTCTCCTTCTCATTCTCCTTCTCATTTTCCTTCTTATTATCCTTTTCATTGTCCTTCTCATTCTCTTTCTCAATCTCATTCTGATTCTCGCTTTCCTTCTCTCTCTCATTTTCCTCCTCATTTCCATTATCCTTCTCATTCTCCTTATTATTCTCCTTTTCATTCTCATTTTCCTTCTCATTCTCCTTCTCATTCACCTTCTTATTCTCTTTCTCACTTTCTTTATCATTCTTCTTTTCAAACGCATTTTCATTTTCCTTCTCATTTTCCTTATCATTCTCTTTCTCATTCTCTTTCACATTTCCTTCCCATTCTCCTTCTCATTATCCTTCTCATTCTCCTCCTCATTCTCCTTCTCATTCTCATTCTTATTCTTCTTCTCATTTTCCTAATCACTTTCCTTCTCACTCTGCTTCTCATTCTCCCTTTCATTCTTCCTCTCATTTTCCTCCTTATTTCCATTCTCCTTCTCATTCTCTTTCACATTTCCTTCCCATTATCCTTCTCATTATCTTTCTGATTTTCCTTCTCATTTTCTTTTTCATTCTCTATCTCATTCTCCCGCTCATTTTCCTCCTCATTTCCATTCTCTTTCTCATTATTCTTATCATTCTCCTTCTCATTCTCCTTCTCATCCCCCTTCTCATTCTCCTTCACATTTCCTTCCCATTCTCCTTCTCCTCCTTATTTTCCTTCTCATTCTAATTCTCATTGTCCTTCACCTTTTCTTCTCATTATCTTTTTCGTTCTCTTTCTTCTCATTCTCCTTCTCATTATCCTTCTCATTCTCCTTCTCATTCTCCTTCTCATTCTCCTTCTCATTCTCCTTCTCATTCTCCTTCTCATTCTCCTTCTCATTCTCCTTCTCATTGTCTTTCTCATTCTCCTTCTCATTCTTCTTCGCATTCTCCTTCTCATTCTCCTTCTCATTCTTCTTCTCATCCCCCTTCTCATTCTCCTTCACATTTCCTTCCCATTCTACTTCTCCTCCTTATTTTCCTTCTCATTCTGATTCTCATTGTCCTTCACCTTTCCTTCTCATTATCTTTTTCGTTCTCCTTCTTCTCATTCTTCTTCTCATTATCCTTCTCATTCTCCTTCTCATTCTCCTCCTCACTTTCGTTGTCATTCTGCTTTTCATTCTCCTTCTCATTTTCCTTCTCATTCTCATTCTTATTCTCCGTGACATTTTCCTCCTCACTTTCCTTCTCACTCTGCTTCTCATTCTCCTTCTCATTTTCCTTCTCATTCTATTTCTCATTTTCCTTCTCATTCTCAATCTCCTTCTCATTCTCCCTTTCATTCTTCCTCTCATTTTCCTCCTTATTTCCATTCTCCTTCTCATTCTCTTTCACCTTTCCTTCCCATTATCCTTCTCATTATCTTTCTGATTTTCCTTCTCATTTTCTTTTACATTCTCTATCTCATTCTCCCTCTCATTTTCCTCCTCATTTCCATTCTCTTTCTCATTATTCTTATCATTCTCCTTCTCATTATACTTCTCATTCTCCTTCTCATCCCCCTTCTCATTCTCCTTCACATTTCCTTCCCATTCTCCTTCTCCTCCTTATTTTCCTTCTCATTCTAATTCTCATTGTCCTTCACCTTTTCTTCTCATTATCTTTTTCGTTCTTTTTCTTCTCATTCTCTTTCTCATTATCCTTCTCATTCTCCTTCTCAATCTCCTTCTCATTGTCCTTCTCATTCTCCTTCTCATTCTTCTTCGCATTCTCCTTCTCATTCTCCTTCTCATTCTCCTTTTCATCCCCCTTCTCATTCTCCTTCACATTTTCTTCCCATTCTACTTCTCCTCATTTTCCTTCTCATTCTGATTCTCATTGTCCTTCACCTTTCCTTCTCATTATCTTTTTCGTCCTCCTTCTTCTCATTCTTCTTCTCATTATCCTTCTCATTCTCCTTCACATTCTCCTGCTAATTCTCCTTCTCATTCTCCTTCTCATTCTCCTCCTCACTTTCCTTGTCATTCTGCTTTTCATTCTCCTTCTCATTTTCCTTCTCATTCTCATTCTTATTCTCCTTGACATTTTCCTCCTCACTTTCCTTCTCACTCTGCTTCTCAGCTTCTCATTCTCCTTCTCATTTTCCTTCTAATTCTATTTCTCATTTTCCTTCTCATTCTCAATCTCCTTCTCATTCTCCCTTTCATTCTTCCTCTCATTTTCCTCCTTATTTCCATTCTCCTTCTCATTCTCTTTCACATTTCCTTCCCATTATCCTTCTCATTATCTTTCTGATTTTCCTTCTCATTTTCTTTTTCATTCTCTATCTCATTCTCCCTCTCATTTTCCTCCTCACTTCCATTCTCTTTCTCATTATTCTTATCATTCTCCTTCTCATTCTCCTCCTCATTCTCATTCTCATTCTCCTCCTCATTCTCATTCTCATTCTCATTCCCATTTTGCTTTTCATTCCCCTTCACATTTCCTTCTCATTATCCTTTTCATTCTCCTTCTCATTATCATTCCCATTCTCCTTCTCATTCTCCTTCTCATTGTCCTTCTCATTCTCGTTCTCATTCTCCTTCACATTCTCCTTCTCATTCTCCTTCTCATTCTCCTTCTCATTCTCCTTCTCATCCCCCTTTTCATTCTCCTTCACATTTCCTTCCCATTCTCTTTCTCCTCCTTATTTTCCTTTTCATTCTAATTCTCATTGTCCTTCACCTTTTCTTCTCATTATCTTTTTCGTTCTTTTTCTTTTCATTATCCTTCTCATTCTCCTTCTCATTCTCAGTCTCCTCCTCATTCTCCTTCCCATTCTCCTTCTCATTCTCCTGCTAATTCTCCTTCTCATTCTCCTTCTCATTCTCTTTCACATTTCCTTCCCATTTTCCTTCCCGTTATCCTTCTCATTTTCCTTCTCCTTCTCCTTCTCATTTCTTTCACGTTTTCTTCTCATTCTCCTTTTTATTTTCCTTCTCATCCTTCTTCTCAATCTCCTTCACATTTCCTTCTCATTCTCCTTCTCCTCCTCATTTTCCTTCTCATTCTGTTTCTCATTGTCCTTTACCTTTCCTTTTCATTCTCCTTCTCATTATGTTTTGCATTCTCCTTCTTCTCATTCTCTTTCTCATTCTCCTTCCTATTCTCCCTTTCATTCTTCCTCTCATTTTCCTCCTCATTTCCATTCTATTTCTCATTCTCCTTATCGTTCTCCTTCTCCTTCTCAATTTCATTCTCCTTCTCATTCTCTTTTTTATTCTCCTTTTAATTCTCCTTCTCATGCTCCTTCTCATTCTCCCTTCCATTCTTCCTCTCATTCTCCTCCTCACTTCCATTCTCCTTCTCCTTCTCCTTCTCATATCGAAATTTTTGAAATTTTCAAAAATTCGCATTTCGTCCCGATTTTTTCAAAAATGTTGTTTCATGACCATCAACATGCTATATTTTTAGAATCAGCGTGTCGGGATCTACATCTCTGAATTTTTTCATAATTTTTAGACAACTTTTTTAAAATTGAAATTTTTTAATGGTCGGAAAAATTTTGACATTTTCGAAACTTAACTTAATACATTTTCTTGTAGAAAATCACGCATTCGTTCTTATTATCCTTCTCATTCTCGTCATGTTAGTTGCAATTTTCGGTCTTATTCTCGTTCGTACTTTGTTATTCTTATTCTATTCACGGTTACATTAATTTTCATCTTACTTTCGTAAATTTTTTGTTTTTGTTTTCCGCTGTTTTTTGTAGTTTCTTTTTCAGTTTCGTTGTCATTCTCATTTATCTTGTGATTTTCGTTCTTATTCTCGTTTTAATTTTTCATTATTATTTTCATTCTCGTTCCTATTCAAGTTCTCTTTCACTTAACAAAAGAAAATCATTTAGTCATTTAGTCTTTTTATTAGATATTTAGGAATATTTAATATTAATTTTATAAAATACAAATTTAATAGAAAATGGAAATTTAAAGAAAAACAGATAAGGACACGAGGTCACGCACCTTATATTTTCTATTATTTGCGCTGTGAGGATATCTTTCAACACCGACCAGACGGAAATGATTGATATATTTTGGGCAGTAATTATCTCGGAAATAGCTTTAGGTTATACGTCTAAACGAGTCCTATGATATTCTACAAAAATATCAGTAATCTTCATTTTCAGAAAAATCAAACACCTTGTACGTAATTTGAAACCGACGTACTCTTCTATGTAGTTAACATCGCCAGCTATTTATTTTCGTTAAAGTATGTCGGTCTTAATTTTTTCACAGGAGGATCTTCGTACGTTTCATATATTTGAAATATTGAATAGGTTGTTTGACTCAGCAGATATTTTAGTCCGAGGAGATTTAGAGTTCCTCGGTGCTCTACCAGGATGCGCTTTTTATACATTGTGTTAATTATATCAGTCGAAATCGAAATTCGAAAAAGTCCGAAGGTAAATTTCGAAATTCGCTGGACCCTGAACACGTCGATTTGCTGACAAGTTGATAATCCTCCGGCATGGCGGGGCATAAAGCAAAGTTTACCTCGCTGCAGATAAACAGTAAATGAAATGTTTATATCCTATTTCACAGCATATGCAGCATGTAAAATTTCAGTTTTCACATGCTGCCGCCCACGCGCTCCTAAATTTAGCAAATTCACGAAATTTATCGCCTCTTTGAATCCTCCAAATAATTCCTGGAGTTTTATTATTGCATAAGTGCAATCCTCCGAATTCCTGAAATAGTGCCCCGAAAATAACCCGCCTAATTAATTTCGCCGCCCGAAATAGCCCGAAATTGAGTCAATGAACCCCCAATCCTCGTTTCGGTAAAATTTCAGGCCGCTTTCGCACGTATTTTCGTCGCGAAAAATCGCATGACTCACAAAACGCAAAACTAATCCGCGAACTACAGTCAGTGCTTATTTTCAGCTCGAACTCATAAAAGCTCTCCCGAAAATCGTGGGGGCTCGCTCGATGATTTATCGCCAAGGACTCCCAATTAAATCTCTGGCAGAGCTTGAGTTCTTATAGCGGCGAAAGCCATCTTCGCCAAAAGTTCGTATCGGTTTTGAACGTAAACGTGACTCATAACCGAGACATGAGACTTATTTTTGATCGGGCGATTTTGCGTGGGCAGGACAACAACACACTCTTACCGACTGTATTTATTTTAGCACCTGACGTGAAAATAACGTTATTTATGCGGTATCGCGGAGACGTTTATTGTACGATTTTTCGAAATAAAAATCGCGAGGACGACGTGTTTACGCGCTCTAGGTCACTTATATAATTTTATTAAATATAAGTGGCCAAAAATACGAGATGAAGTGCCGCCGCACTCCGAGATGCGTTTGGAAAATCGGCTGGAAAAGCGCGTTTTTATAAATAAGACGCGTATTTTAAGCTGGAAATTTCCACGCGGAGATGTGGAACGCCCACGTGCTAGGCGCGGATCGGTCTGATTATGCGGTGGAAAGCGGCGACAGAATTTTCTCGGATGATTCGCTTGTTTGGACCGTACGCTGTTCTGATTCAGACAGATTAAAAGTAATCGGTTTCGAATACACCTTTACAAAATATTAGTCACAACAAGCACATTTATCTTATCGCGGTTTAAAATTAAATGCGGTGGCTGCCAGCAAGAGGAATTAAAAAAAATGTTGTCTCATTTTTCGGTTTTTTTAGTGTGTAAATTTTTGTTTGGTTTTTAAAAAAAAAATCGATTGAATTTGTGCCGCCAGACACGTCACGAACATGAAAGTATCAAATGTCAAACTTTGATACGTGTCACATTTCGTGAGGTTTAGTTTCTTAATTTAAATCATTTTACAAAAAATTTGAATTAATATTGCATTTTCTATAAAAAAATAATAAAATTTGTGACAGTGGAATTTTTTAACTAATTTGATTGA